AAGACAGAGACCTCAAGACCACATTAGCAGATAACACCAGCATTTTGTAATGACTTCTTTTTGGGATGTTGTAGCATCTATAGGTACTTCATTCTTTTTCATAAATGTGTAATATTCCCCATTACAGACATTCTGCATTGTGCTTATCATTGGATCATGTGATGTACATCTTTTGGCTGCTGAGAATTGTGCTGCAATGAACATCCGTGCACACATTTTTCATGAACACCTACTTTTACTTAATTGCAGCATGCCCTCACATGTGGAATATGCCCAGAAGTAGATTAAACAATACCTCTATAGATAACTATTAAGAGTCCAAATAGCTTATTTTCCACAGCAGCTGTACACCACTTGTCATTCCCACCAGCAATGTCAGCATTTCAATGATTCAATCAATTGCTAATACTTATTCATTTATTACCTCGTTCTTTTTCCTTTTCATTATATCTGGGTTAGTTATATGCTAGTTTTCCCATTCTGAGAAGCTATATCTGAGTGTGATTTTGATTCACACTTTGCTAATGACTAATGGTGTTAAATACATTTTCTGGGCTTGCTGGTCCTCTGGGATTCTTTTTTGGAGAAATGTCTACTCCAGGCCTTTGCACATCTGTAAATTGAGTGCAATGTCCTTCTGTTGCTGCCTTGTAAGAGATCTTTGTATCCATGAACAATAATCTCTTATCAGATACCTGCTTCCCAAATATTTTCTCTTGTTCTTGAGTGTTTTTTCACTTGTTGCTAGTATCCTCTATGCACAAAGGTTCTAATTTCCGGAAGTCCACTTATCCATTTTGACTGTTTTGCCCAAGATTTTAGTATCACCACCAAGATTACACAGTCAAAGCCAATTCCTGAGGTTTTGATTTCTGTTTTTCATCTTCCTTTCCTTTCCTTTCCTCTCCTCTCCTCCCTCTCTCTTCTCCTCCCCTAACCCTCCCCTCCCCTCCCCTTTCCTCTCCTCTCCTCTCCTTTCCTTTCCTCTTTTCTTTTCCTTTCTAAGTCTTATAGCCTTGGGTCATACTTAGGTAATTAATCTATTGTAAGTTAATATTTGTAGTGGAATCCCATAAGGGTCTATCTTTATTCTCTTGAGTCTGGTTATCTAGGTTTCTCATGCCTTTTCTTGAAAAGAATCTTTTTTCCGGGCCAGTGCTGTGGTGCAGCGGGTTGATGCACTGGCCTGAGGCGTTGTCATCCCCTGTGGGGCGCCGGGTTTGGGGCCTGGCTGCTCCACTTCTGATCCAGCTCTCTGCATAAAACAGTGGAAGATGGCCCAGGTCCTTGGGTCCCTGCAATCCACATGGGAGACCCAATCAGCTTCGGATCCACAGCCAGTTGGGGAGTGAACCATCGGATGGAAGACCTCTTCTCTCTCTCTCTCTCTATCTCTCTCTCTCTGCTCTCCTTCTCTCCTCTGTGTGACACTGACTTTCACATGAATAGATAAATCTTTAAAAAAAAAGAATCTTTTTCCAAAATAAATGGCTTTAACATTCATATCAAAAGCTGTTTTACAGTAAATATACACAGTATTGTGTACTGCCACTCATGCAAAAATATATGGTGACTCTTTAAGTACCATTTGGCAGTATTTGGAGCTGGGTTCTAACAGGAAGGATAAAGGTGAAGTCTAAGTGCAAGACTTTAACCTGGCAAGGCTGGTGTTTTCTTACTGAAAGAGGAAGGGACAGCAGTTTCTTTCTCCTTGTGGGCCAATGCAGACAGGCCATGTGGGGAGGCAGCAAGGAGGCAGCCACCACAAACCCAGAGGAGTTCTCACCAGCAACAGGACTGTCTGGCACCTTCATCTGAGATTTCTCTTTTCCATAACTATAAGAAAACACATTTTTAAGCCATTCAGTCTGTGGTATTTTGTTATGTCAGCCTGGGCTGACTAATAAAACTCTGTAATCGGGCATTGGTTATATCTTCTGTTTTTATGCCAAGAACATAATATTTTGATTCCTGTAGCTTTGCAATATGTTTTTAAAACAGGAAGTGTGGATGTCAAATTGGTAGTCCCTTTTCAAGGTTCTTTTGGCTATCTGGAACTTCACAAATATGAATTAGAATTAGTTTTCCCATTCTGAGAAAATATTGTTGGGGTTTTGATAAGAGATGAATTAAATCTGTAGATTGCTGTGGATAGTATTGGCATCTTAACAATATTAGGTTTTCCCACTGGATCAAGGGATGTCTTCCCATTGTGTCTCTTTTTAATTCTTTAAGCATACAATTATCTTGCCTCTTTTTAAAGTTTATTCCTTAATATTCTTCTTCATAATAGTATATAAGTGATTTTTTCTTTACTTTTTTCAGACTGTTTATTGCTAGTGTATACAAACAGTGATTTTTTTGCACGTTGGTTTTATATCCAGAAGTTTGTTGAATTTTTAAAATTAGTTCTAACACTTTATGCATGGAATCATCAGAATATTCTACATGTAAGGTCTATGTTGAATAGAAGTAGCGGGAGAGGCATCCTTGCTTGTGTTCCTGATCTTAGAGGACAATTTCAACCTTCTAGCATGGATTAGTATGCTAGCTGTGGGATTTTCCATATGTGGCCTTTATTGTGTTGAAGTAGTTTCCTTCTATTACATGTGGGTTGAGTATTTGTATCATGAGAGAAGGCTAAATTTTGTCAAAAGTTTTTTCTGCATTGATGAGTCATGATTTTCCAACACATTCTCTTAATGTGTTATATTCCATTGATGGATGTTACTATACTGTAGGACCATCTCCATTTGTAGGACATTCTTGAAATAGTAGTATCAGAGAGATGAAAGTCAAATTAGTAGTTCCAAAAGCAGGGATGCTTGGGAGTATAGGTAAAGAATCACATGTTGGGGGGCCGGCGCTCTGGTGCAGCAGGTTAACACCCAGACCCGAAGTGCTGGCATCCCAAATGGGTGCCAGTTCTAGTCTTGGCTGCTCCTCTTCTGATCCAGCTCTCTGCTATGGCCTGGGATAGCAGTAGAAGATGGCCCAAGTGCTTGAGCCCCTGCTTCCATGTGGGAGACCTGGGAGAAGCTCGCAGCTCCTGCCTTTGGATCAGCGTGGCTCTGGCTGTTGCAGCCATCTGGAGAGTGAACCAGTGGATGGAAGACCTCTCTCTCTGTCTCTACCTCTCTCTGTAACTCTGTCTTTCAAATAAATAAAATAAATCTTAAACAAAAAAGTCACATGTTGAAATGAACACTAGGAGAAACGGTGACTTGATCAGCCCTCACCCTGACTGTTGATGAGCAACTTAATATGTTATCCCTCTTAGTATTTTTGTTTGTTTGTTCTACTGAATACTTTTGGTTGAATACTGTAATCAATACACAATTCTTCTTAAGTGCTGAAACTTAACTGAAAAGTGATCACTGTTAAATATAAGAGTGGGAATAAGAGAGGGAAGAGATGTGCAATTCGGGACATGCTCAAGCTGACTTACCTCAAACGGTAGAGTTAGAAACATACCACGGGATTCCAATTCAATCCCATCAAGGTGGCATGTACCAATGCCATCTCACTAGTCCCAGTGATCAATTTCTGTTCACAACTGATCATAATTATAGGACTAAGAGCGAAAGGGATCACATAAATAAGAATAGTGTCTGCAAATACTAGCTGATAGAATAAAAAAGGGAGAGAACGATCCAACATGGGAAGTGAGATACACAGCAGACCCATAGAATGGCAGATGTCCTAAACAGCGCTCTGGCCTCAGAATCAGCCCTTAAGGCATGCGGATCCGGCTGAAATGCCCATGAGAGTATTTCAGGCATGGAAAGCCAAGACACTCTGGGGGAAAAAAAAATCTAAATGAAAGATCTCCACAAGTGAGATTCCAGTGGAAAGAACGGGTCATCAAAGAAGGAGGTACCTTTCTCTGAAGGGAGGAGAGAACTTCCACTTTGACCATGGCCTTGTCTAAATATGATCAGAGTCAGTGAACTCAGGGGGCTTCCATAGCCTTGGCAGCTCATGACAAGAGCCTAGGGTGATTACTGATGCCATAAACAAGAGTGTCAATTTGTAAAGTCAACAACAGGAGTCACTGTGCACTTACTCCTCATGTAGGATCTCTGTCCTTAATGTGCTGTACATTGAGGCTTAATGCTATAACGAGTACTCAAACAGTATATTTCACTTTGTGTTTCTATGGGGGTGCAAACTGTTGAAATCTTTACTTAATGTATACTAAACTGATCATCTGTTGAAAAAAAAAGAACAAATTAGCAATTCCCAACTTGACTCTCACTGGGATTAAACATGACAATAGGTCTGATCTGATTTCATCATCAGTTAAAAAATCATCTATTATTTTTCACTTTATGTTTCTGTGTGGTAGCAAACTGTTGAAATCTTTACTTAATGTATGCTAAACTGATCTTCTGTATATAAAGAGAAGTGAAAATGAATCCTCATGTGAATGGAAGGGGAGAGGGAATGGGAAAGGGGAGGGTTGCGGGTGGGAGGGACGTTATGGGGGAGAAGCCATTGTAATCCATAAGCCGTACTTTGGAAATGTATATTCATTAAATAAAAGTTAAAAAAAATAAATATGATCCGAGTCAGTGAACTCAGGGGGCTTCCATAGCCTTGGCAGCTCATGACAAGAGCCTAGGGTGATTCCTGATGTCATAAACAAGAGTGTCAATTTGTTAAGTCAACAACAGGAGTCACTGTGCACTTACTCCTCATGTAGGATCTTTGTCCTTAGTGTGCTGTACATTGAGATTTAATGCTATAACTAGTACTCAAACAGTATTTTTCACTTTATGTTTCTGTGTGGGAGCAAACTGTTGAAATCTTTACTTAATGTATGCTAAACCGATCTTCAGTATATAAAGAGAATTGAAAATGAATCATGATGTGAATGGAAGGGGAGAGGGAGTGGGAAAGGGGAGGGTAGCGGGTGGGAGGGACACTATGGGGGGAAGCCATTGTAATCCATAAGCTGCACTTTGGAAATTTATATTCATTAAATAAAAAAAAGTTAGTTCTCCCTCAACTACAAGTACATTCTGCTGTTGTTTCACAGTGAGTGTGCTGAGGAGCATCCGCTGAAGGACAGGCTGCAGAAGCTGAGATGTCACTTCACATGGGGGCTGCTCATCGAAGACACTGGGTTGCCTGACCTAGAAGACAGAATCCTGGAAGAGATTCAATTTCTAGACACTGAACACAAGGTAGGAATATACAACCTGCTGGCCTATGTGAAACACCTGCAAGGCAAGCATGAGGATGCCCTGGAGAACCTGAAAGAAGCAGAAGAGGTGGTTCAGGGAGACCAGGCTGACCACTCAGATGTGAGGAGTCTGGTGACCTGGGGCAACTACGCCTGGGTGTACTACCACATGGGCAGGCTGGCAGATGCACACACATACCTGGACAAGGTGGAGAACACGTGCCAGAAGTCTGCAGACCCCTCCCGCTATAGAATGGAGTGTCCTGAGATGGACTGTGAGGAAGGCTGGGCTTTACTGAAGTGTGGAAGAAAGAACTATGAGCAGGCCAAGGCCTGCTTTGAGAAGGCTCTGGAAGCAGACCCTGAGAACCCTGAATTCAACACAGGGTATGCAATCACTGTCTATCGCCTGGATTACTCTAGCAGAACACCCAATGATAATAGAAAGGTGTGTTCTCTGCAGCCCTTAAGGAAGGCCGTCAGGCTCAATCCACAAGATGCATACCTTAAAGCTCTGCTTGCTCTGAAGCTGCAGGATGCAGGACAGAAGGCCGAAGGAAGAGAGTGCTTGGAGGAAGCTCTGGCCCAACAGTCCTCCCAGACCTACGTCTTTCGATACGCAGCCATGTTTTTCCGCAGACAAGGCCATATAGATAAAGATCTGAAGTACTTGAAAATGGCCTTGGAGGCAACGCCCACATCGGCCTTCCTGCATCACCAGCTGGGACTTTGCTACCGGGCACAAATGAGGAAAGTTAGAAGGCAAGATAGAGAAAATGTGGACAGACTGATACAATTGGCTATAGGTGAGTTTCAAGAAACTTTGAAATTAAAGCCCACATTTGAATTGGCTCATGTGAACCTAGCAGAAATGTATGTGGAAAAAGAGCAGTACAGGGAGGCTGAGGAACATTTTCAGGAAGCATTACGCATCAAGGACATTGACGATCACATCCAGCAAGAAATTCATTACCGCTTTGGCCAATTCTATGAGCTTCGTGGACGTTCTGAAGAAGACAAAGCCATCACTCAGTATCTAAAAGGTCTAAAAATAGAAAAAGTGTCCCATGCCAGGGAAAAACTGCTCAAGGCTTTAGAGATTTTGGCAGAAAGACGTGTGAACCAGAATGTCCGAGATGTGGAAAGTACTGCCCTCCTTGGGCTCATCCACAAATTGAGAGGGGAAGTGAGCGAAGCCCTGCTGTGTTATGAGAAGGCTCTAAGGCTGGCTGCTGACCTCAACTCCATGTTCTGAAATGGAGATCGCCGTTATCCAAGTAAGGTACTCAAAACGAAATATAACATCATCTTTCCCCAAGCACTAACTTGAAAAGAGTAACTAGGAGGGGCGTTTGCTATAGCACTTTAAATGGCCCTTAGGATGCCTGCATGCTATATCAGGTCTGTGTTTGAATCCCAGCTCCACGCTTGATACCAGCTTCTTGCTAAGCACAGCCTGAGAGCCAGAGCTGATACTGCAAGTACTTGCATCTCCGCCGCCTGAATTTAATTCCTTGCTTCTGGCTTCAGCCTGGCCCAGTCCTGGCTGTTGCAGGCATTTGTGGCATGAAGCAGTGGAGATAATTCTCTCTCTCTCTCCCTCTCTCCTCTACTTCTACCTCACCCTCTCCTTCTCCCTCCTAAGTAATGCTTTTAAAAAAATGTGTACTTCCTGCAGAGATTGCTCTTTACAGCATCCATGCACTTCTTGTTGACAAAACAAAACAAACAAACAAACAATCCCTAATGCTAATTGGGGCACCAATCATCTGTAGGGCCAATGAGAACATGCTCTGCCTGATTCTGCCCTTGGAATGAAGAGCTTCCACCCTCACATTAGCTGATAACCCACACAGAGAAGACTTAAAGAAGCAATGTTTCTTTTTCACGTGACCTGGAACATTGATCTGCAACAGGGTCAGTGCAAAGGGTAAAACCATTGAGCAAAGGTTAAAGGTACAGACAAGGAGAGGATTCTGGAGTCCGCTACAGCACCTTAGCCTAGAGTTCCACTTCCCAAGGACCCACTGAAGCTACCACCTGCGGATCAGTGAGTCAGTCAAGCCAATAACATTACCCTTTGTCAGTTCAGCTACTGGCAGTCACAAGGGTTCTTCATGATCCAAATATGTTCCTGAGCATTTACTCACATCTCTGTTTCTCCAGTTTAATGAGGGAAACATGTAATGGAAAACCTTCTGGATGTGTAAGCTGAAGACGATATTCACAACTGGATGCATGTTTCCAGTGCTGCTGGGTGGTGTGAGATATAATCTGTTTTGCACCTACACAAAAATATTCAGCAAAATTTCCTAAGATCACAAATTTCTTGAGTGATTCCTTTGTCAATGAGATTTAAAAAAAAAAAAGATGTGTACTCTATGTTTTTGTGGAAATAGCAAAATCAAAATCATCAACATACGCAGTGCTAGAAGGCCTGAAACAGAGCAATCCTTGGGATTATAAAGCATGGCTAGAATTTTAAAACATACTTGGAAAGTAATTATTTCTACAGGCCTTGGAAGATTGACTCTTGTCACCTTGATCCCTGAGAGCTGGAATTGACCAATGGTGGGGAACAGAGTAGGGACAGAGTGCATCATTCAGACCATCCCTGGGGAACATACAAGAACCACTCCGTTCAATTCTGTTGATACTAAAGGAAAAGAGTTAATAAATTTGATCAGAGAGAAATACTAAGGTAATAATATTCCTTTTTCCTGGGAAAAATGTGTGATTTGGCTTTACCTGCCTCTCCTTGAATACCTTCTATATCCCTATAGAAGAGCCCACTGTGGAGAAATATTTGCCACCGTTCATGGTAGAAATGAGAAATTTGAAGACACATCTCTTCTGCTTGGAAAACACACAACATTCTTCCAGTCCTCACACCCCACAGCTCTAAGCTTTCAATTTGGCTCAGTACTGTAACTGTTGCTAAAATGAAAGCTATTGCTATTTAGCTAGAGATCAGCCTTGGCAAAAACAATTATTGGAAGATTCATAAAACTCCTGACTGAATTCAGGACAAATATTAGAAAGTCACTGACATAAGTGGTAAATTGTCAGAAAGTTTGGGTTCATTGCAACAAAAAATTCATTAATATTAAAACATTTCTAGTACTTCAGGTACTAGAATCAAAATATGCTTTTCTCCTATCAGATCTACTTCATAGAGTGTGTGACCTTCTGTGACGATGTGTGTGTGTGTGTGTGCATGTGTCTCCATGTGTGAGTCTATATCTGTGAGTGAGTGTAAAGTAAGTTCTAAACAAGTAATTTTAACAACATCAACTCCCTTCACCCTGGAAACTCAAGGACTGAAGTCACCCAAACTGGCTGGTGAATGTACTTATCCTTTCGGTACCAGATGGACCACAAAGGAACAGAGGGAAAGCAGAAGGTACATAAAAATACGTATTTATCTATTCAGTTTAAAATGACAACAATGGAAAGATAAATGAAAAATTCTAATGCTAGCTTCTGGGAAATGATGGGGCAAAGGGAGGGAAAGCCACAGAAGCTGGAACCTCCTTATTGGTATTTGGCACCATGTAAGTATTTTACCTAACTCTAAAGCCAAACATGACACCATATGCATCCTATAAAGTGTTGGCCATTTTATGTAATGATTAAAAAAAATTAATTGGAGGCAGTGCAGTGGCATAGCGGGTAAGGCCACCACCTGCAGTGCCAGCATCCCATATAGGCGCCAGTTCGGGTCCTGGCTGCTCCACTTCCAATCCGGCTCTCTGCCATGGCCTTGGAAAGTAGTAGAGGATGGCACAAGTCCTTGGACACCTGCACCCGTGTGGCAGACCCGGAGGAGGCTCCTGGCTCCTAGCTTCAGACCAGCACAGTTCCGGCCATTGCGGGCAATTGGGGAGTGAACCAGTGGATGGAAGACCTCTCTCTCTCTCTCTCTGCCTCTCCTCTCTCTCTCTCTCTCTCTGCCTCTTCTTCTCTCTGTGTGTAATAAATAAATAAAAAATCTTTAACAATTTTTAAAAAATAAATTGATGGATGGATACAAAACAAAATGGAAGGGCCAACACTGTGCCATAGTAGGCTAATCCTCTGCCTGCAGCACCAATTTGAGTTGCCACTGCTCCACTTTTGATCCTGTCCTTAGTAATGTGCCTGGGAAAGTGGAAGATGACCCAAGTGCTTGGGCCCCTGCACCCATGTGGGAGACCTGGAAGAAGCTCCTGGCTTCGGACTGGCCTAGCTCTGGCTGTTGCTGCCATTTGGGGAGTAAATCAGCAGATGGATGATCTCTCCCTCTGTCTCGACCTCTCTCTGTAACTCTACCTCTCAAATAAAGAAACCTGAAAAAAGGAAAAGAAAAGGAAACTGAATGGATGAATGGATAGATACGTGGTTGAGTGCATATAGTGAAATGTGAACTACAGGACCTGCATACATGAGTATTCTTGTAAAGTTCTCCCATCTGTCCTCTCTGGAAATACACATCAGAAATTAGATACTTAAAAGAGAAAATAGAAACATTTTAAAAAACTAATGCAAACTGGACAAAATGGGATATTGTATTCATGGGATGGAAGATGAAAGCACATAGAGAACACAAATTTCAGGACTTTTGAATACACTAACTGGATCCTACATTTTTGGTAGGACACATTGCAAAAGGTACAGGGAAAATATTCATGAAATCTACTCAGCAAACATTCTGGAGTTGTCCTGTTGCACTCTCATTACTCAGAGACCATTGTAGTGTAATTTAGGAAACACCTCATAATAACCAACTGGTATTACTTTAGAAAGAAGAGGTTCAGTTTGGAAGCCAACATATATATATATATGTATATTTAAGTTTGATTAACCTAAATCAATCAAATGCAGCTGAATTAATAAGATGCACTTATGACATCTTATCCACAAAATTCACAGAGTAATAATTTCATTTTCCAGCTTTTTACAATTATACTAGGGTGATATGAGATGTTACCAATGGGGAATTCAGGTGAAAGGTACACAGGACCCTTACCACAGCTTCCTATGAGTCTATAATTGTTTCAAAGTAATTCTGAAATGTAAAAACATGAAATCATGAAAATGCTTTCATACCTGAATATGTTGCAGTAAACTAAATTGTGAGTCAATGTGGGCAGATGGTCCCTGGAAGACCCAGAAGAAGGTGTTAAAATCATCAAACCATTTGTACAATGGGGTTCTGGTAGCTGAGCCCTTCCTCGGTAGATCTGATTGGAAGTCCTATAATCTCAAAAGCCAAGACCACAGTTTTCATATAGTGGTCAAAGCACTGAGAATTACAATCTTGAAATAGGCTGTTACCAAGCACAACTTTATGACTGAGTAAATTAGGAAATAATATAATGTGTAATGAACAGAGAGATGGTCTCACCGTTTCATGGGAGATTATAAGGAGAAATACTCATCAACTTGACTTTTATAATGACTTGAAACCTCTAAGGAAACCAGTGTCCATGGATAAATGACTTCCGTCCAACCATTGCTTTTTAAGAGGAGAGCATCCTGTACATCTGCCCCCCGTAACTTCAATGCTCTCATTTAGCTGTGATTACCAACCATAAACATCCTAACAATCTCCCCAGTACATTCTCATGGGAGGAGGATACTGGGAAGATAGAAATGCCAGACTGTGGAAAGCAGCGCCATATATGGGCTGAATTTGTTTCTAACAAGAAACCAGTTTGTCAATAGACCTTATTCCATATGGCCTGTAGCAAATTGTTAACTGGTTGAGACTACACACAACAGCCATGGAAAAGAGGGCAATCCTGTATGGCACACATTCCTTTAAAAACTGTGAATGGATACCTGAGAAACTTCAGTAGAAATGGCTTAATCTCCTACAGTTGGAATCACAAAAAAAAAAAAAAAAAAAAAAAAAAGAGCAAACTAGAATTCTTTCCTATGACATCCTGTGACTCTAGAATAGACTGAGAAGTTCATTGTCCATGGTGTACATGATGCTGCAAGGCACAGAGAGATGCAGACCCTAAAAGTGGGCCTCAAAGAAATACACCCAAGGATTAAGTCCCAGACTCTCTATCAGAGGATTTCAGACATGTAGAGGATAGCAGGCACCATCAAGGCCCTGGGTCCAGCCTGACATACATCCAGATACTCTTCCTTGCGATGTTGAGGCTGGGTGCCCACTCCTGGACACGAGTGGATTGGTCAGAGATGGGGTCTAGTTGGTATTTTGTTTAAAAATTCCCTCGTTGATTTTAATGTGCAGTGAGGATTAAGACCTGCTAATTCTTCTAAAATCTCTACTTTATCATGTAATGAAATTTGAGATTACATGTCACAGCCACCAGTCCTGACCTGCCAGGAACCAGACAACAAGCAAGGTCTTGCAAAAATGTACCACCAGGATATGGTACGTGGAAGGCCCTGCAAGAATCAGAGACAAAGAATGTCCTACAAAGAGTGCAGAATGGCAGAGGCAGACCAGAGCCTGGTTTAAGCTGGTTAGATCCAACATGCTGTGCAGATGAATACCCAACCCATAAAATTGAACTGAAACAGCCTGCAGGGGCTGTCCTTTCTAGGAAGTGGATGGCCCTTTGCTGCTTTCATTAATAAAACTCTCTTGCTTTCACTTTGCTAATTCATGACTCACTTCTACCCACCTTGAAGCTGAGGTGAGCCACATAAGACTCCCACGTGTCCTATATCACCTGCTATCCAGCATTGAACTGACTTCACAGAGGTGAAGTGGCTTCTCAAAACTGGCCAGTCATGCAAAGAGTTGTTCCTGTACTCCTAGGATTGGACCCAAGTCCAGGGATGAAATTTGCTTTCCCAGATTTTTTCTAGTTTTCAATTTCTTCCCCATCTGTGAACACTTGCACATGAGCGTGCGCACCTGTGTGCACGTGCGCACATGCACACACACACACACACACACACACACACTTGTTAGATATTTCTACTTTTCACTTTCTTTAATGTCACTTATTCCTGTGTCACTCTGGATCTGTTAGATCCAAGAGACATTAGACAGGATTCTGAATAACGAATCAGCCCAAGCCAAACCCAGAGAATCAGGCTCGCTGGCTAATTCAGAACAAAGACCGGATAAACACATTGTTCCCTTCTCTACAAGGTATCGGATGCATTGGGAAATGGAAAGCCCAATTGTTTTTCCACATGTATTCCAAAGACATTGTGCTCTCAGAAAACAGAACTTCTCTAATTCATTTGCCTCAGCATTGGCTTGTAGACTGACTATTCATCTGAAAATGTAACAAAACCCGTCTTACTAACTCTGAAGCTGCTCTTTGTGTAGAACTTTCTGAAGAGCTCAGAATTTCTCGGTGGAAGCTTACGGCTTTGGTTCGGGCTAAGGGGAGAGAGGGGCTGGGCAGAGGGTTAAAAGGACCTGTGTAGGCCTGGCAATATGATCAATTAACTGTTTCTAAGTGGAAAATATTCTTGCAGATGCTCCTCTTCTGTTTTGCATTTGTAGGGACAAAGTGAGCTGTGTTTTTTACAAGCAGGCATCACACTGAAGTTGCAACCTGCTTCTACATGCCATGGGGGCTATTCTTAACCATGACACCTCTTGCCACAGTGCTCAGGGCATGGAGGGCTATTTTGGCGTTTCACTTCTTGCCTTTATAGAAAAGCTTTGAATGTTCATTTTTCCCTCTGGATTTTTAGTATAATTTAGTATATGAAATAAACTGAAAACAGACTAACTAGGAAAAATATAGGCTGATTAAGGTGCTGAAACATGGGAAACACAGCTAACTGTACCGGTCTCAAAGAAAGGCCACAGAGGTACAATTTGAATAATCTCTTTAAAAGGGAGGAGGAAGCAGAAGGGAGAGTTGCACAGGGTCTCAGAGGGATAAGAAGTGATTACCAGGGTGAATCAACGGAGCTGCTACACAGAAACTAGCCTTGGAGTGATGCCCTGTGGTCCCTGAATGAGGAGAGGGACAGACACGATGTGTGTGATCACAGGCATGATGTTAAGGTCCTTACTCATCTTTTTTCTTTTTTTTTTTTTCATTTTCGATTCTCTTTATTTACAGAAGATCAGTTTAGCATACATTAAGTAAAGATTTCAACAGTTTGCTGCCACACAGAAACATAAAGTGAAAAATACTGTTTGAGTACTAGTTATAGCATTAAATCTCAATGTACAGCACATTAAGGACAGAGATCCTACATGAGGAGTAAGTGCACAGTGACTCCTGTTGTTGACTTAACAAATTGACACTCTTGTTTATGGCATCAGGAATCACCCGAGGCTCTTGTCATGAGCTGCCAAGGCTATGGAAGCCCCCTGGGTTCACTGACTCTGATCATTTTTAGACAAGGCCATGGTCAAAGTGGAAGTTCTCTCCTCCCTTCAGAGAAAGGTACCTCCTTCTTTGACGTCCCATTCTTTCCACTGGAATCTCACTCGTGGAGAGCTTTTAGGTTTTTTTTTTTTCCTCCAGAGTGTCTTGGCTTTCCATGCCTGAAATACTCTCATGGGCATTTCAGCCGGATCCGCATGCCTTAAGGGCTGATTCTGAGGCCAGAGTGCTGTTTAGGACATTTGCCATTCTATGGGTCTGCTGTGTATCTCACTTCCCGTGTTGGATCGTTCTCTCCCTTTTTTATTCTATCAGCTAGTATTTGCAGACACTATTCTTGTTTATGTGATCCCTTTGGTTCTTAGTCCTATCATATCATGATGATCAATTGTGAACAGAAATTGATCACTGGGACTAGTAAGATGGCATTGGTACATGCCACTTTGATGGGATTGAATTGGAATCCCCTGGTATGTTTCTAACTCTACTGTTTGAGGTAAGTCAGCTTGAACATGTCCCGAATTGCACATCTCTTCCCTCTCTTATTCCCACTCTTATATTTAACAGTGATCACTTTTCAGTTAAGTTTCAGCACTTAAGAAGAATTGTGTATTGATTACAGTATTCAACCAAAAGTATTCTGTAGAACAAACAAAAAAAAAATACTAAGAGGGATAACATATTAAGCTGCTCATCAACAGTCAGGGTGAGGGCTGATCAAGTCACCGTTTCTCATAGTGTTCATTTCACTTTGGCAGGTTTCCTTTTTGGTGCTCAGTTAGTTGTCACCTATCAAGGAGAACAAGTGGTGTTTGTCCCTTTGGGATTGGCTTATTTCACTCAACATAATGTTTTCCAAATTCCTAACAGGGATCACTTTTCAGTTAAAATTTAAACACCTAAGAATAATTGTGTGTTAATTACAGAGTTCAACCAATGGTACTAGAACAAAAAAAATACTAAAATGGATAAAGTATTACATTGTACATCAACCATCAGGACAAGAGCTGATCAAGTCACTGTTTCTCACAGTGTCCATTTCACTTCAACAGGTTTCCTCTTTGGTGCTCAGTTAGTTGTCGCCAATCAGGGAGAACATATGATATTTGTCCCTTTGGGACTGGCTTAATTCACTCAGCATGATGTTTTCCAAATTCCTCCATCTTGTTGCAAATGATAATGGGTGAGATGGAAGGCTACTGGCTTCACTTTTTTAGGCCTGGCCTTGATGCAAGGAGGGGATCCCAGAGAGAGACCTCTTCCCAGCATTTGTGTAAGACAAACAAGGCAAGGTTGAGGCAGCCAATAAAGCTCTTAGCAGGTCAAAGTGCCAATTCTGGGATTACCCTTTTCTGTGACCCAACACCCTCTTTCATAAACCAGGTTGATGGTTTATTTCTGTCAAGCTGAAACCAATAGTAACACCTAAAATCCTTGTTATTTAATTCAGAGTAGATATTTATATATTATAGCAGATTCCTTCTGCATATAAAAGGCCAAGAGAAAATAAGACTGATTCCTTCATGACCCCCTCTTCTGTAGCCATCCAGAATCCAGCCACTGTCTTCTGGGGAAGGCAACAATGGGCTAATGCCCCTTTTCAGAGTAGGAGGTGCATATGGTTCCAAATGCAGGATGCTCCCTGGGATTCTGCAGCACTAGCCACACCTATGGCCCCAGGCCCACAGCCAGTGATGATCTTGGTTTGCACTGCTCAGCCCACACCTGGAAACCCCACATGACCCTGCACGTGGCCTTGGCCTTTGACTTGATGAACAGCTGTGGAGAAAAGGCACTTGCACAGCTTTGTAGCTTCTATCTCTGTCTGGTTCTCTATTTCTCTCCACTCAAGTATATGAGAACCTTTTTTGTGAATTAACTTTTATTGATTTTCTTAACTTCAGGCCACAGAGAAAAACCTCTTGGACAATGGCATCAAATATGGATGTGATGGGATCAACAGCTCCAGATACAGCTTTCTAGGGAAACAAGTCTGGGCATCTCCTCCCCATCAAGGGCTTTCCCATGACTAATTCACTGTCCTGCAGGTAAGTTTGCTCTGAATAAACAGCTGCAGGATCATCACATTGCCACATGTATCATGACAGGGGGTAGTTTCTAGCACCAACAAGAGAAAAGTGGAGCTCTGGTAGACACCACCAATAAGAAGCAAACCTCTACCCCGAATCCGAATCTCAGCACAGGCTTATTCTTCCCAGTCTATTATGAACACAGAAGATGATGTGGGGCAAGTTGTTGTAGGCCACGCCAGCATGTCAGGGCCCCCAGAGGACTGGGCACAGCTATTGTAACCATACATACCCAAGATACTTATCTCTGGGGAATCAGATCAGCTTACACAGCTCCAAGGGCCTTTATTCACCAAGAATGAGAAATAGATTGTCATTAAAGCCTAGTATGCTTTGACTAAAGACTCAGTATGCTGACACATACATACACTCTGTTTCTATGACTTCTAAGACCTAAAAACACCTATTGCAAAGTAATGCAACATTCCAGTATAATCAATATTACTTGGTATCTCAGAGAACAGCGGTAAATGTAGGCTAAGGCTTCCATTTAGAGATGTGCAGACTCTTGTACCATGAAAAGAAAAATTCTTTATTCCAGTAAGCAAACAGAGGTGCAGGCAAGGGCAGACTTCTGCAGGTTCACACAGCCACATGCCTGGGCTTCCCTGCCGGCCTGCTCCACAGCCTCCTTACTAAGCTCCATCTGCC